AGTATGTTTATATTTTAAGTGTTTTATAATCCTTGGGGTTTAATATATATTGTATACATGCTTTAATGTGATAGTCTTGCATATTATAGGAAACCCTCACATCTTGACTTAGGGTTTATTGATTTAAGCATGTATGATATGTATAAACCATGTGTAGAAGGATTATATACTTTAGTAGTATGCTAAATTCTTGTATTTTCACATGTAGTGATGATATAGAATTCTTGTCAAATTATTAATGTTATATGTAATTTTCATTGACTTGAATTGCTATATTTGTTGAGATGATAATTCTGTACCTTAGGAGCTTATTACTAAAATGTTAAGATTTAGTATATTAAGCTTATTGTTGAGGTATGATTGAAATTGATAAGTTGGTGGTATTGTATTGTGCATAATATCATGATGATGACTTGTCATTTAGCATGCCATTCTAGACTTGGAACCCTAAGACATGGTTTGTGTGGTTTCAAAGTACTTGTGCTTGTAAGGTGGTTGATATGCCTTATTATCTATGTATAAGTTTTGAACTTGATATATTTTGGATTCTCTTGGAACATTGTTTAAGTGACATAGCTAAAGTTTGGCTTTAGTGCGGGAGGTATGAGTTCTCCCCAATTGAGATAGTGCGCACTAGGGTGGTCTTCCCAGCGGGTTAATGCCCGGAATAACCATTTTGATCTTGGTTTAGTCTGAGACGTGATGTCCAAGTATTTCACTATTTGATTTCGCTTCAAATTCCAAGTTGACAATTAATGCTTAATTGTAACTTGTGACTTTTGTGATTGGCGAATTGATGTTGTTAAGTACATTGATATTGATATGTGTTGCTAAGAGATATTTAAGTTAGTTTAAGATGATCCCTTAGAACACCTTGAACATAGACGTTAAGTGGAATGCTCCCTTGTATTCGTCTATATTGATCTTGCAAAGATATTGAAACTTTAGGGTATACGCATATGCTGTTGGTAAATTTATATGCTTCATGTGATATTTAACATATAACAAACCTTATACTAATATGTCATGAGATAATTAACAATATGCTAAGAAATCATTAATTAAATATGCAACTCTATATTTAATTAAATATGCAAAATAAAGCAATAAAATAATAATAATAAATAAAGAACCTGGACCGAGGCTAGTATTAGATACTATGTCCTTAAGACAGATTCGCCCTGCTATGGTGCTAATGGACTCAGTGGCGTCTATCTCCCAGGATACAACGGTTTACATCCACCAGTAGCAACACTACAAACTTATGGATACGGCAAACCTTCTCCGTGTAATACTCTCTCTGACTCAAAAATGCATCTATACTATATAAATGCTGAATTAGGTGTAATCCGAACCAAATAGTTCGGACCAATCTTAATATGGCTCTATGAAATTGGATTAGGGTCTAAGTGGTTTGGACCACTTAACCTATGGTTTGAACCCATTTGGGTTGGGTTCAAGTTTAGAGAGGGAGAAAGAAGAAAATGAAAAAAAAAAATGAACCACTTGCAAATGATCCAAATGGGGGTATTTATAGAAACAGAAATGCCTTTTCGGATTGGGTGTATCTCTTCATTATTGGACACAACCATTGCAATAGGTTGCAATGGTTCACATGGTGTCTGTTCACCACTAGACATATCTATTCCAATAGGTTGCAATGGTTCACATGGTGTCTATTCACCAATTGACACATCAATTCCAATAGGTTGCAATGTGCCTTTTTGAGTGGGTGCAACCATGGGTTATGATGGTTCGAAAAAATGTGTAACCTTTTTTAAAAAAAAGTAAAAAGTGGTTTTTAATTTAAAAGGTATAACCCTTTAGAAAAACTAAAATATGGTTTTTTAATTTAAAAGGTGTAACCTTTTAGAAAAACTAAAATATGGTTTTTTAATTTAAAAGGTGTAACCTTTTAGAAAAACTAAAAAGTAGTTTTTTAATTTAAAAAACCAACCACCTAAAAAATCCACCCATTTGTGAAACCCATTTAAATAAGCCCAGTCCAAAATTAGGCACAATCCAAAATTCCAAAAAAGAATAATCTGGACTTTACAATTAGGCCCAAGCCCAAGCCCAAATCCAAAACTCAGCTTATTTAAATTTTAATTTGTTTTAACATTTTTTCCATGTGGTACAAACATTTTCCACATTTTGCATACCCATTTAAGCTTATCAAAACACTATACTTTGGAGCAAATTTCTAATTCACCCGGAAACGAATTTGAGAAAGTAAATATACCATGTTCATCTCCTTGTAGAAAGAAACGCGCTCGTCTATAGATTCGTAAAAAATTATTAGCGGAATCTATCCCAAATCTCATCCAAAGTTTATGTTTTTAATGCCTCGTTTCCAACATATGCTTCTTCCTACGAGTAACTTGATTACTCACCCTAGTGGTTTGGGTTGTTTTTCAGGTAAAGAGACTATGTTCTTAGATGTTTATCATCCTTAGAGGCCTATGAGCTAATTGAAGTATTTTTGTATATTGACATGCAAGTGTTTAGCATGCTTAACTTTGATGTCATATTTTGTATACCATGGGTGTATGGTATTTTAGAAGCTTATATAGCTTTCTTGACATGTAATGATACTTAAGTATTTACATTTGACATTATAAGCATGTATGTAAAGAGGCCAAGGGTTAAACATGTGTACTTTTGTACTTGTACTCTTTTAGTATCAAACTTTTGCTTCAAAATGTATTTGAACTAATTTTGGAGATTTGACATATGAAAATCTTGTAATTGATATATATGAGGCCATGTGCCATTGTTTTACATTCAAATATTCATATCAAAGTTGTTGACATGTTCACATACTCAAACCTCATTGAAAAATCAGTTTTCAACATTCATTTTGAACCAATTCATCATGGGATTCAAAGTATAGGTTGAACCTTAGCACCTTGGACTCATAACAGGTTTTCCAGTAGCATTTCGAGGTGTTTTTCGGTCGATCGATGGCAATTAGATTTGTCTATGCACAGTAACTCATCATTCCAGTAGCCAATTCTACTGTTCAAGGCCTATTTTGGTCGACCGAAACTTTATTTCGGTCTACCGAAACAACCAACACTTAAATTCATGATTTCAGCAAGCTTTTTTGTTCATTTCGGTCGTCCAAAGCTCTATTTCGGTCGACCGAAATAGCTTTCATATGCACAGTTGCTTCAGTTCAGTTTCAGTACTGCTGTTCTGATTTTGAATGGCCATATCTTCTTCGTTTCTAACCCAAATAGGATGATTCTTAAGCCTAAATTCATGGATTTTGACTCAGCTTTCCAATGGTACCTATGCCATTCTTAGATTCCAATCACAGTGGGAGTTATTCATGTTTTAGTGAGGTAATGTCAGTTTTCGCTTAAACCGAGAAAGGGCATTTTGTGGGATTCTTATCCAAAGTTCTTAGAACCTCTTGGAATATTGCGAAATGATTAAATTAAGTTGTATTCACCTTATTTGACTTGTTTAGAGTCAATTTTTCTCTTCTCATTTGTGAATTTACCATTTTGCCCTTCATTGAATGATTTTGCCTGTTTTAACTCTAGTTTCCTCTTTTACTCTTTTTAACTTCTGTGACCTCATGGAATGTCACATTTGTGCCTTAGAGATGATTTATTTCTCAAAGGATTATGGTTTCATCTTTTGCTTCCGCATTTCGGATCCGTTACTAGACCAATTTTTGGGTCATCACTGACGCACAGGGTTGAAAAACTTGGGCCATCACAGGATTGAGAGATTTTTGGGACTAAACAATTTATAACGGTTCCACTATTTTTGAAACCAGACCGAACCATAATGCCCATGAAACCAAACCAAACCAAACTGTAAAAAACCGGCTTGGTTCGGTTCAGTTTGACGGTTTCAGTTGATTTCTTTTTTATTTTATTTTTTAAAAACAAAATTATTATTTTTCTTGGTATATAATACATCAACAGAAACCAACAACATGGACTTAACTTTTAAAACAACAAACAGATTTAGTAAATCTTGTAGACTAAGTTAACCAACAATCAAAAGAGATAACATGTCAACAACAATCAAAAGAGAAAATTCAATAAACTGTTCCAAAAAAAAATTGTTTAACAACTAAAAATCTTAGAAGAAGAAAAGTAAATGCCCAAGCTCCAAGCCTCCAGCAACTTTGCATTGCATAATGACATCTTCTCAATCCAAAGAACAAAAGTTCACTGAAAAGTAAAAGAATTTAGTTAATCATTATGGTACAACTAATTAAGAAATAATACTTAGAAATTACTAAACATATATCAACAATACAATAATTTACCATTAAATGCGATATTTTTTTACTCGAACTCCATCTCAAAAGTCGTTAAGCAATAGTTATGGCTGCAAAAATAAATTATTAACAAATACTTGTAATAAAAATATATGATAAAATTAAAATTAAACTTACTTGATTCAAGAGCTTCAATTTCTTCCAATTGTGCTTCAACTTGAATTGGGAGTGGTGAAGGTCATGATGCACGTAACCAATCTTGTCCACAAATCAAGCATTGCATAATGTTAGGAGTAAGCGAACTACGGAATTAATCAAGGATACGACCTCCCGTACTAAAAGCTGACTTAGAAGCAACAGTAGAAATGGGAATAGCTAAAATATATTGTGCAACCTTGGAAAGAATCTTATACCTTGAACAATTTACTTTCCACCAATTCGAGATGTCAAATTTTGGGTTTTCATCTTTTTCACACACTTCCTCTAAATATCTGTCCAATTCTGATTTGCTTCTCATTATTCCTCCTACTTCTTCCAAATGTTTCCAATATGCCTTTTGGCGTATTGTGATTGCTGTTAGACCACTATTCCCATCACTTGCACCAACACCACTACTTGGTTGATCAACCACTATGATATTAGAGGTTTGACTTGAAGATGAAATGTCCACCTCTAACTTTTCATACTCACGATAAATACGCTTTAATACCCCCATTACCTTTTCTATGAGAGCATTCACCATGTTATAATCATAAACTTAGCTATAACAATAACTCACATAGTTCAACTTGAAGCGAGGATCCAACACAACAGCAACCACTAACATTATATTCACTTTCTTAATGCTACCCCAATACTTGTCAAATTTCACCTTCATTTTGGCAGCCATGGCACTTAAACGAGGATCCAAATTTTTTGTGCATTCGGACAACTCCCTTTCAATTAAACAAACTTCATGAAAATATACATTAGCAGTAACATATAAAGAACCTGCCATGCGATTAGTGGCATCATAAAATTTTTCCAAAAAATCTTTAAAAATTAGAGCATCATACCAATCAATTTTGGTAGGAGGGCCATCATCAAGTTCTTTAACAAAATATCGGTCCTCTTCTTCCATACTCTCAAATGCCTTTTGAAGTTTTAATGCAACATTTAACATCATACAAGTGGAATTCCACCTAGTTGGAACATCTAAGCACAAAGAACATTTACATGTTATCTTCTCCAAAGCTACAAAATGCTTAAAACGTTTTTCTCTTTGTGGAGAACTCCTAATATACCTCACAACCCCACAAATTCGCGTTATTGAAACTTTCAATTCACTTAACCCATCTTTTATAATTAAGTTAAGGATATGTGCACTGCATCTCATGTGAAAGAAGTCACCATCTAAAATAAAAGAGTCACATTTCTTATTAAATTTGGTCTTTAATTTATCAACATCAACATCATTTGAGCTAGCATTGTCAATAGTAAGTGTGCAAAGTTTTTCTATACCCCACTCAGTCAAACATGCATCTATCATTTGACCAATTGCCTCACCTTTGTGACTAGAAATAACACAAATATTAAGAATTCTTTTGTGCAATTTCCAATTCTCATCAATAAAATGAGCAGTAAGGCACATATAAGAAATGTTTTAGAGGGAGGTCTATGAATCTGTAGTGATGCAAATTCTTTGATTTGTGATGAGCACTGAAAAGTGCGTATTTAAACCCGTTAAGCTTAAGCATTCTAGTACCTTTATCTATCTTACTTTGCCGTTTTAGACTTATTACGTGTTATTTATATTTTCAGGCACTAATCCCAAAATTGAGCTAACTCAACCAAATAAGAGCTTAATTGAAGCAATCCTGAGATAAACCAAAGGAGGGAGCAAAGTGGAGAAAGTAAGGAGCAAAAAGGAATCAAAGTTGTGCAGCTGAAAAGTTCGATCGATCCAACTTAGAGTTCGATCGATCGAGCATCTATGATCGATCACAGTACTTCTCGATAGATCCAACCTTGGCCTTTGCTGAAATTCCAAGTTCGATCGATCCAACATCACCTTCGATCGATCGAACCCTATTTTGTCCTATTCAAATGATTAATCTTATCCACAGCTGTACGCCTACCAACCACTTTTGTCCTTTTCCCCATAAATATCTTCGAAATATCTCAGCCTTGTTCTTATCCGGAGGAGTCAGACCATTTCGATCGATCCAAGATGCAGTTCGATCGATCGAACCCATCTTCGATCGATCCAAGTTAAGGTTCGATCGATCGAACTTTCTCCAGCAAGAAAAAGTTAAAGTCCAGCTCATTTATTCCGTCCTTCACCCAATCATTAGAGAATATGCCTTGCACGACCACAGCTCATCATAGGGTGTATTTGACATACCTATATAAGGAATATGATACACTTTTTGGTAGGGAGCCTAGAGTCTCTTGTCACACGTTGAAAATCATCTTGGAGGCTATTCTTGGAGAGGAAGAAGGGAGGAAGCTAGAGCAACCATTGGAGGAGATCTTCATCTACAAGGAGCAGCCATGGAGTTAGCCCTTGAGGGTTAGATCATCACTACCATGAGTGGCTAGACATCTTCTTGGGACTAGAGTTAGCCCCAAGCATGCTTTCTTTACCCAATCTTGTGTAATTTTGAGGGATGTGTGTTGTAATGCATATTTTGATTCTTGAACTTATGAAGATCTTGATTATTCATTGAGTTCTATGGATTGATGCTTCTAATTGATCATTTTCTCTATCTATATGTCTATGTATGCTAGAGTAGATGCTCAACTCTAGATTTAATGTTATTGATGCATGTCTATGTGTATTAATGCCTTTAATCTTGAGATTGCCAAAATATGAAGTTCTTAATGTAATGCTCTTGTTATGTCTCTAGATGGTTCATACTTATTCCTTGATGGATTGTGTTTCTCTTTTAAGTAGTGTAGTGTTAGTTGGGGAAATAATTCATACTTGTTCTTTGATGTTCCATGCTTTTTAATGCCAGAAGCATATGTTCTAATTTTGTGATGTAAAGGAATTTTGAGCTTAATGAAGGGTTAATGATTAGTTATGATATGTTGTATCTTTCACATGTGTTTAGACAATTTATTCCTCTCCCAATAGATATTTTGTACCTCTCACATGATGATTAGATAATGCATGTTTAACTAAGTCATCCTTATGGATTGCTTGGACTATGAGCTTAATGAAAGGTTCAATGACTTGAATTGTTATTTTGTTATCTTCACATGATGTTTAGACAATATATTCCTTTACCAATAGATGTATTGTGGCCTCACACATGTTGATTGAGACAATTTGCACTTGTTGAGTCACCCTTACTAATTGAATGTCTTTTACACACACAACATTGTTACAACACATTCATCTCCCTCATTAGTCACTTGATTATGGTTTGGAATAGTATTGTTTGGTGGTGATCTCTACACCCCAAGACCTTTTCTTCTTACTTACTTTTTATCTTATTGCATTGCTTTATTATAGTTTAGCTCATTTAGTATAATCAACCAACCAACCAATTGTGTGATCACTCGACCTACTAACCCTAATTACCATAGTTCACAATTCGATACACCATCAAATCCCTTGGGACGATCCCTACTCGCCCTATCTATATTTTATATAGAGAAAGGTAGTAGTGGCTTTTTATAAATGTAAAACTTGGCCACCTCCTAAACACACACAACTTTTGAAGCTTGACTTGGTATCGTGACCCTTGTAAAAGAGGCACCCGGTCAGTTTTTGGCGCCGTTGCCGGGGATTTTAAATTGGCAACGTCGAATTGTGAAATTCAATTAGGATTAGTACCCTTTTGATCGTGTCTTTACTTTCTTTTTATTTTCTGTTTTTGATTACTTATTAAGTTTGTTCTTCATTAACAAGGTGAATTGAGCAAGGAGCTAGCAAAGTAATTCCAAGCTAAGGAGCGAAGCAAAGCAAAGGAAAAATGCTTAAAATGAAGAGTTGCTAAGCTAAGCTTTTAAATTTGGAGTTGAAGTGCTAAAGGACTATTGTGAGACCTTCTTACCCAATCTCCTTAGTTAAATCGGGGGCCCACGTGGTGGCATTGCATATCATTGAAAGCATGGGAGTATGGGAATTATTGTATATGGAGGAAGTTGATGATATTTGACTTGTTGTGGAGGAGAAGTGTTTGTTTGATTGCTTTGTTGTGATTTGTAGTCTTTACTTGATCATTCACTCTAGGCATTCACATGGAAAACCTAGAGGGTAATCTTGGCCACCTAGACCCGCATTTCATGCAAAACCTCCCTCCCGATCAATACGGTCTCGGAGCTCAAGCTCCAATGCCTCCAATGGTACTTCGTGACTATTATGATCTCCATGCATACCATGCACCTTCTTGTATCATGTTGCCTAATTTTGAGACAAATCAATATGAAATCAAGCCCGAAACTATTCAATTGTGTCCACTTTTCTATGGTCTAAATGATGAGGAGCCTTATAAGCATCTAAATGAATTCTTTGAAATATGTTCCACCATTAGATACATGAATGTCCCGGAGGAAGTGATTAGACTACTCCTTTTCCCTTTCACCCTCAAAAGTAAGGCAAAGCATTGGTTCAATACTTTAGAAGCAAATTCTATAACTTCTTGGATGCAAATGCAAAATGAATTTTTAAAAAAGTTTTATCCCATGAGCTTGACCAATGCTATGCGTACTTCAATTAGAACTTTTTCTCAAAAAGAAGGGGAGTTATTACATGAGGCTTGGGAAAGATTGAATGACTTGCTAGGGAAATGCCCACATCATGGCATTCCAAAATGGCAAGTGGTTCAATCCTTCTATGAGAGCCCATCCGACATTCATAAAGGTATTGTTGATACATCATGTGGAGGATCATAGTTTGGGAAACATGAGGATGACATTTGGCAACTCTTTGAGAAGATGAGCGAAAACTCTTTACAAAAATTTTATACTTCTCAAATTGACCATGAACGAAAAGAGAAGAAGAAAAATTCTCAAGTTTGTCAAATAGAGAGTTCAATGGGAATTGTAGCGGAGATTAAAACTCTTTCTCAAAAGTTTGACCAATTCTTGTTAAATCAAAAACCGGCTAACAATTCCTATCCTCATCATCATACCTCTCAAATGAATGAGCCTTGTATGACATGTTCAAGTGTTTTGCACACTACTTTTGATTGTCCCCACGGACATGCTTATAATGAACACTATGAACAAGTCAATGCTACATTTGCTCATCCCTATTCCAATGTTTATGTTCCAAGGTGGAATGAACATCCAAATTCTTTTCAAGCTCAGAATTTTCAAAACAAGTACATTCCACCTCACAAGAGAAATGAAAGTTTTCAAGGGTTCACTCCTTCATATCATCAAAGAATGAATAATTCTTCACATCCTCAATTGTATGAATTCCAAACGGAGCATCATTCTCCTCATGCACTTCATAATGATTCTACATTTGAAGATAAGGTTTTAATGGCTTTGGATAGCCTAGAGAAGAACACAAATTTTTTGCATTCACACTCTCAATCTATATCAAAGCTAGAGTCCCAAATCGGGATCATAGCTAATGCATTGAATGCAAGGGAAGTGGGTAAGTTACCTAGTCAACCCGAGAGGAACCCAAAAGCTCAATTTTGTGTGAAGGCAAACTCTACGTTGGAGAATGCCTCACAAGTTCAAACACAAGCAATCACTACTTTGAGAAGTGGTAAGCAAGTTGACAATAAGGTTGAGTTGCCAAAGGAGGATAGTGAATCGGTGCAACCAAATGTTGTCACTCATTAAAATTCCAATTCCATACCTATCTCTTTGGATGAGAATGTTCCAAATCGGAATACTCAATCTTCATCATCTTCTCAAGTGCCAAAATGTCATGAGCCAAAAGCTCCTTTCCCTTATGCTTTGAGAGAAACCTCACCTCAAGAGAGGCAAGATGGGAAAATACTTGACATGATGGATGTTTTCAAGCAAGTGAACATAAATCTTCCCCTCTTAGATGCAACTAAGCAAATTCCGCCTTATGCCAAATTCTTGAAAGATCTTTGCACACAAAAGAGGAGGAACAAAGGACAAGGTCCTAAGAAAGTGTTCATCACGGAGCAAGTGAGCTCCATTCTTTAACAAAATACTCCACTCAAATGCAAAGACCCCGGTGCTCCAACCATTTCATGTGTAATTGGAAATCACGAGATCCGGAGAGCTCTTCTTGACTTAGGTTCAAGTGTTAACCTGATTCCTTATTCTGTGTATGTCCAATTGGGGTTAAATGAGTTAAAACCAACCTCGGTAGTGCTTCAAATGGCCGATAGATCTGTCAAAACACCTAGGGGTATGGTTGAGGACATCCTTGTCAAAGTAGATAAATTCTACTTTCCGGTTGATTTTGTAGTGTTAGACACTGAACCGGTTGCTAATTCCACTACTCAAATCCCAATCATCTTGGGAAGACCATTCCTTGCCACCGCCAATGCCACTATCAATTGTAGGTCCGGAATCATGGATCTTTCTTTTGGCAACATGATGGTCAAACTCAATGTTTTCAATGCAAGTCGACATCCCATAGATGAAGATGAGTGTTATGTTATTGATGTGTTAGATGAGGTTATTGTGGAATCAATTCCCACA